GTGTATAAGCTGCCTGGCCGGCTTCTATGCAGATGAAGAGGGAATGGAGTCTTGTAAAAGGTGCCCCCAGGGCACTTACATGCCTTTCTTTCAAGCAGAAAGCTGCCTTGATTGTGGCATGAACCAAGTCACAGAGGAAAGCGGTTCCCAATTTCTCTCTGAGTGTCATTGCGCGAAAGGCACTTTCATGTGCAACGCCTCCACTGCACCAGGGTGCTGGACATGTCCAGAGGGCCTTAACTGCGAGGCGGGACTGGGTCCGCCAGTGCATCAGCCCGGATATTGGACACGCGCAGACGACTCGTGCAGCTTTCAGGTGCTGAAGTGCAGAAATACGTGGGAATGTCCGGGCAACGTACCGCTAGGTCACTGTGCAGCCGGGCGGGAAGGCAGAGCCTGCAACAACTGCAAGCCAAACTACTATCCAAAGGATGATGGCACGTGTGCTGAATGTGGGCCAGCTGATTTCTTGCCTTCAATACTTTGCGTTCTTGGTGCCATGCTTATCCTCATTTTGTGGCTAGGTTGCACTTTTGCATCTCATGATGCAATTTTTCCAACTCCAGCCAATATTTAGACAGGTTGTGCGATAGCTTCCTTTTGTTTCTCTCGAACTTGAGCTTGATTGTATGAAAGCAAGACCTGAAATTAGACAGGTTGCTGTCAAACCCCTGCATTATGACATTTGCGACCGTGACAAAAAGCTGGCAGCGTTGAGTGAGGTTCGTACATTTATTGCAAGGGGACCTAGACCAGCTGAGCCTGAACACTCTGACTGTGGCTGCAGTAGGAGGCTGGAGGGTCGTCTCAAGACACATTTGCAGTGATACCCCCAGCGCAATGCACACAAGCAAGGATGCTACTAGGCTACTAGGAGCAAGGGCGCTACTACTATGATGATGATGATGCTTTGCAAATGCCAGATGATGATGATGATGATGATGCCATAACTGCAACTGTTTTCCCGAAAGCACCTGCAAAGGGCTCAAAGGGTTCTCTCTAAAGAGCAGCTATCAACTTCATGTCCGCTATCATCACCTTCATCATGCCATCATCATGCCATCATTGTCGTCATCATCATAAGTGTTGAGATTGTCATAGATTGTCCTCAGTCTTCAGATATTCAAGACGCTTCGCGTCGACAGCCGCCACACCGCGCACAAACAGCCGAAGTTAGTGAAATGGAAGTAGCCATCTAGGCGCCAGGTTGGGGACAAGTGCAGCCATCTAGGCGCCAGGTTGGCTGTCTTACGGCTGCGTTGGAGCCATCTTGGGGCCAACTTCGTCTACCTTGGGGCCCATAATGGTGATACAACTTCGGCATTGCCAAAAGCCAGCCAAAAATACACCTCCAAAACGCTCTCCCCAGTGGCCCTGGAGAATCAACGCAGCAACCACCCCAAAACACAAAAACTCCTCCAAAGCGCTCTCCCCAGTGGCCCTGCAGGCACGACGTAACTAAAAATCATCCAAAAATGTACCTCCAAAGCGCTCTCCCCAGTGACCCTGCAGTCCAACCATAGCCGCGCACGCGCGAAAAAAAAACCCTAGCAGAGCTATTTGCATAGGCGGCAGAGCTCAAGAGCCCCAATAGCACACCTGCACCGACAAGCGGTGTAGGCGGATTTGTATGTACGGTACGGTACGTATGATTATTTGTGCGTACATGTCGGTCTACACAGTTGCCGCACAGCAAGATGTAGGTGATGTAGGTGTATAGAAGTAGGCGGATAGATTTAGGTGGACAGATGTAGGTGTACACCGCAAAACTTCTACAGATCACGAACTTCGACGACATATACTTAACTTTAGCAACTCTCTTAATGCCGCGGGCGGGCCTGGCAGCGTCCATCGAGACGCGACCCTCTGCCAGGGGGTCAGGCGTTTTGGACACGCGAAACTGTGGCGCGGCGCCGGTTGGCATGTGGCCGGGGCGACCCTTTGCAGGAACATCAGGAAGTGCATGTCGAGTGCCCAAAACTACGACAAGCCACACATTTCGTGTGTTCGCGAGCAACCATTTGCAGGAATCATGTGTGCGTAGCTGCGGTGAACTGCAAATTTGGGGATCAAAGTGCGAAACTGTCATCGGATTCAACCTTGACCTTGACGTGGGTGAGCCCAGGCAACTCTGTAGTCACACTGCAGTGCAAAACCCAGAGTGGCACGGGCAGTTTCGAACTATATATATATAGTAGCTCCATACTCAGACCTGGCGACTTTGTGCTGGGTGCCCGGGCTAACTTAGGGCTAACTTATCTCGAGTACTGTAGCAAGAACTTGTGCCCGATGTGGTGTGCCCTTGGGGGAAAGCCTGCTCGGGGTACCTTTATGGGCTGCATGTATGAGTTGTAGTAGTAGTTGTTGTTGTTTGTTATAGGTTGAGAGTTCTACCAAATCACAAGGGCTTACAACACATGTCCTTGATTCTTCTCTGGTGATTCTTCCAAGATCTTCCAAGATTCATTTGCCATTTGGCTGAAAGAAAGCACTCCATAACTGTGCCACACCTCCGCGGAAGAGAAAACTCGATCCAATTGTTACTTAGTCTAGTTGTTTGTTTGAGTTGATTGATTGAGTGGTCGAATGACTGATTGATTGCGTGTTTGCTGGTTTGCTGGCGTGCTGGCTTGCTTCCTTCCTTCCTTCCTTGCTTCCTTCCTGGGAGTGGCACTGGGAGTTGCTCCTGGGCTGCGCTACACGGAGCATGTGACACGCGCGGTTCGTGTTGCTGTGCCATACAGTTTGGCGGTCTCAGTGGAAAGTGCCTTTGCATGGCCCCGTGCCGTTGGTGAAAGTGAATGAGAAATATGCGTGTGGTCACATGGCTGCATTTGTTCTGTGGCATGCAATGCGACAAAAGTATTTAATGTTGCTGTGCCTTTTTCCGAGGCCTCGCACAAAATTGTGCAAGTACGTTTGCGTGGCCTCCGTGCTGTGTGCGTGTGTGTCTAGACTCGCGTGTCGCTGGTGTGTGGGATGACTGTGGTGGTGTCGACCAAGCTTGGCTTCATTGAACGGTATTGAAGTTGCAGCATTTGGTGAGCAATGTGACTATTTGCATCTATTTGAAATTTTGTTCTGCGGCACTTGGGCATGAAAAGTGAACTGTGAGTGGTTTGTAGACAATGCGCGTGTTGTTAGGGGTGTGGCTTCTAGGCTCTTCCTTCCTTTGCTTGACTGGTTGCTTTACATGAGGATCACGTGTAACACTACTTCAACCATAATGTCGTCCAGCGTAAGGTAAACTCCTAAAAGATGCCCCGTGGCAGCACTGGCTCGGCCAGGTCAAATGGTGACAGCAGTACAAGCTTTGGGTTCCATTCGAGAATTGTCAATCAATTGGGTGGAGCCCGTCCGTTATGTGATGAGCCTCACCCAGGTGGGGCCAGGGTGCGGTCTCTTTGACTGGACAAAGTTTTCTACATGGTAGTGCAGTTGGACATGAGACGTTTGTAGTCGAACATGCGATGTTTCGCACAATCAGTTGCAGATAGTTGCCTTTGTGCTGTTGTTGGATTTTTTTGGCGAAGCAATTCCTGGGTTTGGCTTGGTTCCGGGAAGGTGTTGGTCTTCGACCTGGACCTCATCAGGATTTCGTGCGTTGATGGGATTGACAGTCCCACCATGAAGTTCGTGCGTCGATTGATGATTTGTCCCGTGGGTGTTGGTTTTATCTTCATCATTTGGGCCTTCAGGAAATGCAGGGGTCAAAAGATGCACTTTGACAAGGTCTTCAACGTTTGCGGCATTTTCACCTTTGCACTCTTCATTACCATCGCCTTGACAGTGGTTGATCCGCTGCAATGTGGACGAAATCCGGATGGATCTCAGTCAATGCTGTCCAACCCAGGGGTGATTTGTTTTGACTCGAGTGAGCATTTCGTAATGCTGACGCTTTCCATCATAGGGATCATTTGCTATCCGGTGACCATCATTGCCTGGGCAACCTACACCACCTGCAAGTACCCCTCCCGGATCACTTCAGGTGTGGGGTGGAAACAATTGAACCCGGGAGAATAGATGGCTTCTTTTGTTTGCGCATGCCTGTTCAAACTGCGAGGGGCTCAGAAGTTTTGGACAACTTGAGAACCAGCTTGCGGTTCCCTTAAATATCAAATGTGCATAGATTTGCCATGGCCAATTCGCCTTGGCCTTCTCCATCGCGCAAGGCGTGGGGCTGCAGCTGGTGCACCGTCATCGCTTTCTGTTTCAACGCTTCAAACCAGAGTGCTTCTACTACGGTTTACTGCTGCTCCTCCGTAACGCTCTTTTGGCCCTTTTGCCTGCCCTTTTCTCTTCAGTCCCCTCACTTCAGATGGAGGTCATGGGGATTTTGTTGCTGGCAGCTTGTGCCTTGCAAGCTCGATTGTGGCCCTGGAGGACAAGCTTAGCCAACTACACAGATCTAGGCATTACGATCCTCCTTCAAATCTTGCTGCTGGGGGCTTCCCCTTTGATCAGCCAAGATGCAGAAAAATCCAATGAAATGCTGGGATTGCTTCTGGCCTTGGCGGTGGTGAGCCCTTTCGTTGCAGGCCTACTGGTCATTGCCTACTCCATTTGGTGCCACTTCTTGCCAATCAGCCTTTACGGGGTTTTCCTGTGCCACCACAAAGGTACTGCTGGAAGCCTTTGCCGTCTCCTCAAGCTGCTGGCACTCCAGCACAGCAAGACTCAAATCTTCCTGGATTCTGACGAGCTGGAGGAGGGGGGTGCAAATCCAAGTTGTCTTGTTTGTTGCAATTGATGCAACTGTGCGGATTCATCCGGTTGAAGCAGGTGGAAACAGGGGGTGCTCCAGAAAATGCGCCGATAAACTTTGAGGTTCGTGTTACCCTTTGGCATTCTGCAAAATTGCAATCCACCATTTCCGCTTGACTTGCCATTGTGAACATGAATGTGTTGGCATGCTAGGGTAGAAGGGATAACCCATCCTTTGGATTGGCTGTCCGCTAAAGGACCTGGATTTGATCTTTGATACCATCCGGGCGAGGACGAAGAGTGTAGCAGTGGTGTTGACCCTGCCGGTGTTGAAGCGCATGTGGTGCGCAGGTGAGATCGTAACAGCCTTCAAAAATCGGGTTGTCACAGTTCCATTGGTTTGTGATGGATATGTTGCCCCAGATCCAGAATTGTTAGAGCATTTGGATGAAGTTTGGACGCTGCAGCAGAGACAGATCCTGTCTTTCCACGGCATCAGCATGGAAGATGTGCAGAAAGCTTATGCTTCCTGCCACTAAAGTCGGGCGGATTGGGTTGTCACAATATGTCAAAATCGTGAACCACGGATTTTTTGAGCTTTATTTATACAGATGATGTTCCTCAACTTTGAAGATCCCTTTAATGGGCCAAAATTATCATTTGGGTTCCGCCAGTCCTTTTTGGTGAGGTTTGGCTGCGGGGCCTGGAGGTCTTGGATGTGCATCGCTTTGGGACAACGGATGAGCTGGACAACACTGTGGTGGAGCTTCTTCGACGCGTGAAGGTGCTCTACCCGGCATGCCATGGTTTGCCATAGGATTGTGATTGTGGCTACTGAGTTTGAAAATTGCCACATTGGACCATCAAGTTGAGATAAGTTGAGGTTTGTTCGCGGATACGTTGATACATAGGGATTCTCAGTGCATACAGGGATGGATCTGCATATCCATGCGCCCTCTGAAGTTCTTGTCGTTTGTCCACAAGCCTGCACAATGTGGGCAGCAGTTGTCCAACATGGCACTCCGCACAACATGTATGTCAATGTATGTGTCCTCAGACATGTTGTGGTCGGTGTTGCGATGGGAATTTAGCGGCATACATGTGGTTATACAAGTTCATATACAGCAAGCAGTAGAGTTCCTGCCATTGATACGCATGTACATATGATGTGATACATAGTATATTATTGATGCCGGGGCATGTCATGGGTTTCTTGTACTTGTTGTCGGCTTCAACCTGTTGATGTGGGCAATTGTTGCGATGTGTATATATATATGTTTTTTGACCGAATTGAACTGCATCACGTCAAGAAATACCTCAATGTCACTGTGCCTAGCACATTTTACCGCACATCATGTCTACATTATGGTTTGTTTGGTGAGTAACGCAGTATGTATGTGAACTGGATTTAGAATGTACTGTAATCTATTTGGGTCAGTTGCCATCGTAGATATACTGTGTAAGTTTCTATATTAGGCTCAAGTGCTAGATGAGCGAACGAAGTTAGTATTAGGGGCTGTGGGGTAGGGTGGGAGCCTGGGGGAGAGCGGGCAAAAGAGGGTTGCCAATGTGCAGTCAATATGCAACTCTATAAGGGCTTTGGTGATGCGAGCGATGCCAAAAAACTCTAATAGTGCAACCTACAAGCAGACGTGTTAGCTCTATAAAGTCCTCAACGAAGGAGGTAATGTGTGGTATCAGCAAAGACCGTTTTCTGTACTGCTCCGCTGTAGGGGCAAGCAGGCATGTTTCACACTAGCCGCAGTGAACGAACGCGTCGAAGACCATCTAAGCGGTCCAGGAGAGGGTGGGCCGAAACGCACCGTGACTAACAGACTCCATGTGTGGCGCTGCCCTTTTTGATGGCTTTGTCAAAGTTTTTGGGTAGAAAAAAGGGCGCCAGCAAAGGAGTGCTACTTTCATGGTAGGGTCTCTAGCTGGCTTGTTGTCCTCCGCCTCTACGAGGGCTAGACAATTCCGCACAAATTCTATATTTCCTGCGAACACAGGGCTTTTCCACAGGTCCGGCGCAAGAACTGTCACTATGAGTGTCAATGGTTTGTTCGGAACCGCTGCCTTTGTATACGGTCGCTTTTGTATAAGAGCACGTATGTGCGCACGCAGGGATTTGTGCAGGATTGAATTTTGTTTCGGAGCCATTTTCTTGAGGCGCCCATGAAGTTCTTCCGGCCGAACAGTCCCACTGAATCCTTGGTGAGGGTGAAAGCGCGAATCCTCATCACAGGATCCGTACGTGATGCAGCGGCTCAACTTTGACCCAGAAGATGACGTTCCCAGTTTGTTTGACCAAATAATTAACCTGGCACCCCGTCTTAGGGGTTCAGTGTCTGAAAATGAAAGCCTTAAAAACCTTGCAGGGGTGATGATAGTTCTTGAAGTTCAATGTTCTTCGGCCCAAACTTCTCCAGCCCAGGAGGCGCTAGCTTCATTGGAAGTCTTCCAAATGTTAGCGCAAAAGCTCATGCAGAGGGAATGTACGGTGGTGCGATCAGCCAGCCAACTGATGGCATATCGGCCGTGGGCATATTACTTGGTGGTGCTTTTGTCCAAAGGCATTCTCCACGACCCAGGCGCAGATGCCTCAAAACCTGATTCTTTATGTGTGTTGTCTCATTCCATAGAATGTCACAAACTTTGTGACGGATGTTGATCTCCCACATCCAACTTGGTTTGAGACATTTTGTGAGAGCAATACTCTGTGATATTGGCAAGTTTGATGCTTACTTTCAACTGAGCCTCAGCGGTGTGCAGGGGCAGGACCACTGAGTTTCATCATGTTTCATCTATATTATACACTTCCCGACATTCGCATGGATCAGATATGGATTGACTTGGGACTTGGGACATTGTTCTTCCCGGTAGAATGTTTCCCCGTTGTCGGCCCTGGTCTCAGACTTTGCCAAGACCCTCCTGAGCGTTCATCTCGAAGGAGAATCAGCAGGAAATCGGCCCTTGGAGCTGGTGACGGTCAATGCTGACTCGCGCTTCGAGTTTCCAAATGCCGAGTTTTTCAAAGACTTGGAAGATTTCGCTCTTGGCCTTGACAACAGGGGTGAGGAGCCATTGCCCATTGAGTTGGGTCCATTTCTGTCTTCGGCCTATCGGGCATTGCTGAATGTCTTGGCACTTCCCTTCTCTCCCTGGGGCTCCTTATCTTCTTTGATGGAAACCGTTTCTTTGGAAGGGAATCTGACGTGATCTGATATATATATATATATAAATTTGAAGATGAGGTGCGAATGGGTGCGATTGTTTGTTCCAATCTATACGGATTATTCCAATATTAATGTGCAATGGTTAATGCGCAGTGTCCTCCAAGACATACCATGTGGCAATGGTAATTGATTCATGGATATCGATTGTAATCATATTAACTTTCAGTTGGTTATTAGACTGCATCGATGTATACAGAATTGTAGGTGCACATGCAATCATTGGATTTATGGCTCTTGGGATCCGATTTTTCCACGCTCTCGTGAGCATTTGTTGGATTGCACAAAGCACTTGAAATCGCATGGTCACAGGGCATTTGCTGTGCTGTTTTTCTGGGCGCCCGCTCCCATCGCACAGACTGCAGTGCAGGGTGTGCTGGCACAGTATTAGTCAGCCACATGATCATGTTCAAAACTTTGTGACCACGGGCCCCTTGAGCCGTGTAACCATAGATAGTCACCGTCTAACCACTCTCAAGAACCGCGTTGGAAAAAGTGCACTGTCAGAGAATGAATGCAAAAACACAGCTAAAGCCACCCTCAGGGCACAACTGTCAATACAGAAGCATGTTTTTTTCCCGAAAGCACCTGCGAAGGGCGCAGTCCTACAAGAAGGTTTATTATCATAATCACCAACGTAATCATGATCACCATCATCATTATCACGAAAGGTAGCGGCTACGCTACCTGAGTTGTTTTTGCTTTAGCAATCATGTATTGGGGGTGGTGAAGTGCTCCGGTGCTTGATTTCGATGGTTTAAGAGTTGGTTTTAAGTGTCGGGGGGTGGCCCCCCCCATTTGACTCCACCCTGCGCCGCGGAGAATTTGGTGGTGAAATGAGCAGAAGCAAGCAGCCAGCAGCAACAGCAAACCAGCAAAGCAGCAGCAGCAAAGCAAAAAGGTGGCGCCACAGCAAAGCAGAAAGCAGCAGCAGCAGCAGCAGCAAAGCACCAAAGCTCACACAAGTTTCAAGCAACAGCAGCAACCAGCAAGAAGTAGCAACAGCAACAGCCAAACTGCAGCAGCAACCAGCAGGAGCAGCAACCAGCAGGAGCAGCAGCAGCAACCAGCAGGAGCAGCAACCAGCAGCAGCAGCAACCAGCAGCAGCAGCAGCAACCAGCAGCAGCAGCAACCAGCAGCAGCAGCAGCAACCAGCAACCAGCAACCAGCAGCAGCAGCAGCAACCAGCAGCAGCAAGCAGCAGCAGCAGCAGCAGCAACCAGCAACCAGCAACCAGCAAGCAGCAGCAGCAACCAGCAACCAGCAGCAGCAGCAGCAGCAGCAACCAGCAGCAGCAACAGCGGCAGCGGCAGCAGCAGCAACAACCAGCAGCAAGCAGCAGCAGCAAGCAGCGGCAGCAACCAGCAACCAGCAGCAGCAACCAGCAGCAGCAGCAGCAGCCGCAGACATGCTACCTTTCGTCCACCCCCGTCTCCTCAAGTCATTATTAACATAAATTTAAATACCAGCAGCATCAGCACCATGACTATCATCATCTATCAACATCAGCATCAACATCATCATCATCATCATCACTGTCATCGCCATGATAACATGAAGTTGCGCAATGTTGCACAGATGCAAGTGATTGATATGATTGTCAAGGGTCATCATCATCAAGGGCACAGATGCAGGGGAAACACATCTACGTCAGATCTACATAGATACAGGCCAGGTGTTTCCATACAGGTATTTGGACAGGTGTGGAGGCATGGTACAGGTCTTGAGATACAGGTGATATAGGTGGTGAGATACAAATGCAAGAGGTGTTGAGATACAGGTGTTAAGATCTAGGTTGGTAACATGATGCAATATGCAAATCGTGATCGTGCCCGGCGAACCCTCTGCGGAGATCGTGCGTGTCGAATGCGGGAACGCAAAATGCAAATTCTCTATAGGTGCGCAAACGTGAGGCTAAGTGCGAATTCTTTTTTCCTTGCATGGAACACCTTTGCGGAGATCGTGCGCGTCGAGTGTGCGAAAGCGAGGCGAAATGCGAAGTTTGCTCCCAAACTGTGTAACAATCGGCATGGAAGTTGCCAAAGTGTGTAATTGTCGTCGAAATGGGAACTTGCAAACGCATAGTGCGGGAAGAAGTTCCTGGGAGCTGTGGCGCCAGAACTGGCCAGCTGGTAGTGCAAATGTAGTACGGGAAGCAGCTTGTGGGAGGTGACTGGCCACTTGGTTGTGCACATGTAGTGCGGGATGCAGCTCTGGCCTGAAAACTGGCCACTGGGTAGTGCAAATGGAATATGCGAAGCAGCTTCTGGGAGCTGTGGCTTCAGAACTCGCTACTTTCTAGCAATGTAGTCTGGGAAGCAGCTTGTGGGATGTGGCTTGGTATGGGAAGCAGCTTCCGGGAGCTGTGGCCTGAGAGTTGGCCGCTTGGTAGCGCAAATGTAGTACGGGAAGATACGGGAAGCAGCTTCTGGGAACTTGGTAACTTTTGGGAGTAGAAATGCCCTATGAGCAGCAGCTTTGGTAGTGCAAATGTGTGTGTGCGCGCGCAACCTATTCTCTAAGTTGCGCATTGGTGTGAACGGTGCTGTGCCATTGAGATTTGGTCTTGAAACATCCAGAAAGCAAGGCCAAATGCCAGCCATAACACAGTTTGCACACACTTTTCCTTGAACATATCACTTTCCTACCGTGCTCATTTTTCAAGTGTGCCCATTGTGCTTTGACCAAAATGAGTCGACTTCACGCGAGTGGGGTGGCTTCTCGCTGAAACCTTGTGCCCATGCAGTGGGTTGACTTCACGCGACGTGGGCTGACTTAAGTACGCCGCTTGTAGGCGCTTTCTCAGGATATACATTCAGAATCCGAAGGTGCTGTTCATAGTGTGCCCATGGGGTTTTGCTTAGGCAAGATCACGCAAAGCAAGTCGAAAACATTGATTTTTGAGCACGTGCGCGCAGTATGCGGACGATTTCCTAGTTTTCAACTTCATTGAAGTGATGTCCTTCAAGCAGTGTGCCCATGGTGTTTTGCAAAAACTGCGTTGGCTTAAAACGCATGAGTTGACTTAGGGCGAATGTACGTCATACCATGCAGCTGCGTCGACTTAGCGCGAGGTGCGTTGACATACGGCGCTCGCTTGCACCAGCGTTTGCATGAGTCGGTGCCATGGGGTGAAGTGAAACACGTTGGTGTAGATTCGGCGTGTTGTGGGGGAGCGGGATGATTGGCATATATAGTCTGTGGCACACCGTGTGGCCAAATGACGTTCGCGATGTCGCTGTGCCACGCTGTTTTGCGCGGCCTCGGTGGAAAGTGCGTTTCCGTAAGTCTGTGCCATTGGGGGAAGGAATAAAGATGCTGGTGTAAAATCGGCGCGTGGCGGCGCAGGATTGGCGGCGAGCACGATGCTTAATGTTTCATTGCTGTGTCTTGTTTGTCGCACCGTGTCGCCACATGACGTCTGTGATCCATGCGGTTTGGCGCGGCCTCGGTGGAAAGCGTGTTTCCGTGAGTCCGCGCCGGAAGGAAACATGCTGGTGTAAATTCGGTGTGTCGTGGGGGAGCGGGACATTATTAATACATTATTGGTAGCGCGCGCGTTTCTTAATGTTACATTGATGTATCTTGTCTGTTGCGCACCAAATCATGTTTGTGATGTCGCTGTGCCCAGCGGTTTTGGGCAGCCTCGGTGGAAGTGCGTGTATCATCATCCGCATCACCACCATCATCATCATTTCTCATCATGATCAACATCATCTTCAACCTTCAATACCTTCTGCCATCTCCTGCTCTGCTGACGGGCCAGTAACTTCGACTCCAATGGACTTAGGTCATTCTGCTGCCACTCTGACACACCAAATGGGTCCAAATGATTGCTTTAGATGAAAAGCTGCAAGCAACCATGAGACCGAAGATTTGGCCACCCAAACTCGATGCCCGATCAACAGAGAAAGATCTAAAGTTTGTGCTCAAGACAGTTGGCAATGTACTGGTTCACCGGCCAGGTTCCTTTGAGCCTATTTGAATCTAACCCGTGTCATGTTCCTGGCACTGTGTGCAGGAGAAGCATTGAAAAACGCACACACCAGCATTACTTTGCATTGAAAGCTTGCGTGGCTGGGCATAAACGCGTTCTAACGCACTGAACCCCAATTGAGGTGAACCGCTGCATTCGCATCGGCATTCTGCGATAAGCAAATGGAAAAACTGTGAAACAGTCTGCGTGCTTCCGTTGTCCGCAAGGATATTTAGAGATCATGATAGATTATGTATTATATATATAAATGGGATTGTATTGCTTGTGAGTGCAGAGCACAGCATACCAGTGTGAGGTTCGACCTTTGCCTTTGCGTTTTTCTTTTGCAGCGGGTTGCTAGGCTGCGGCGGTATGACCGCCCATCAAAACACATGCACACGGGCGCGATTGGTTGAGTTGAGTGAGGTGTCGTGGCATTTGTGGGAAAGTAAACATGCATCAAATTTGGGTATGCCTGCAAGGTTTTTGATAGAAAGCGGGCGCGTATGGTTCGTTCTTTGTTTCTACTTGCGTGAGAAATCTCAATTTTTGGTGGGAGAACCCGTCCTTCTCCCGTTCCTCTTGCAGCAGCGCGAGCTGTTGAGGCTCGGAGGGGCTCCTGGAACAGCAGGTGTCAGAGATTTGTCGCCGCTTCCGGCGCTATAAGAATCCTGTTTACGCCACAGCCTTGGACGATGAAGAGGATTTGGAGGTGGGGTTTGAACGGGAAAACATTGCACATTTTAGTCCAATATTGAAGAAATAAGCAGTAGGTCAGCTCTAGAGAGCAAATAGTTCGGCCATGTTCGGCCAAAGATGTTTGGCCGATTAACTCCGCTTGTTTGTGTTGAAATTGGGGGTCCCACGTGAAACTCTGGAGTCAGGTGGAAGGGGATGGCGTGGATCCTTCACAGTTGCAGCAGGAGAGCGTTGGGATAGACATTTTCACGTCTAGCCATGCAAAGAAACAAGCGTTCTCACGTGCCAAGTCGCTCACGTGGACAGAGACAGACTGGCAATCTGGTGGACACTCGGGAAGGCCATATGAATGACAACCTCATCGGCAACTGGAGAAGATTCTCATCGCCAGGTAGTGCAGATTCTTGCGATGACGGGCCGAACATCATGCTGGGGCACCCTGTTACGAGCCCATCACCCTTGCAAGGTCCAGGTCATTGGAGCCCCGATTTCCCCCAGCCAGAGGAGCCACGATCGAATGCGGCGGCCGATGATGCAATTGTTTGGAGTCCTGATGTTCCACGCGCTTTGGGCTCTGGCATGGGCTCTTGGAATCCAGACCTTCCAGACACCTTGCTGCTGTCTGTGCCCAAGGTGCGGTTCTCACTCCAAGGCATTCCGGAAGAACCAGATCAGCAGTCGGATCAGCGTCTTGTGCAAATATGATATAGATAGAACACGCTGGAGCCGGCTTCCAGTTTTTTGGAAGTGCGTTGTTCAAGCCAAGATTTCAACTTGGAGGGAATTCGTTTTCGATTTTTGAACATGAATGTTTCCGTGTGCATGGGCCAAAGCCAATATCCTTCCGAACTGATCAATTGCCACTTGAAGCAACATACATTTGGTCACCCTCTCTCTCTATCTATATGCAATATAGACAGGTCTATGATCTATGCTGTATATGTTTAGGACGGTCACTAGGATATGGCTTTGACACCACCATAATATGTCTTAGACAAGGGTGGCCATGTATCACAACCGTCAGAATAAGCCAGGCAAAACAATTTTCCATGAATGGTATGTCAAAGACATTTGTGCTGGATGGTTGGAGCGACAGGGGAGAGGCATGCGTCAATCACATCAATTTACTCCTGTTCTGTATACAGCTCGCCCCTGCGTTCCGATATCCATGGCAACAAGCACTAATTCACAGAAAAGCTTTGATTCCACGCCTGCTTTCCTGGAGGGAAAAGAATTTGTCGCTGAAATACTTGGACTTCTTGGAAGAACTTGAATTTGGGAATATGGTACACAAGCAGCAGTATATATGGTATTTATATAAAAGTTGTACCTAGAATATCGAGTTGCTGTCTTCAGCCCAGAAACTGCATTCTAACTAACGTGCTTGATCCATTAGCATGCCCAACGGCATGGAAAGATTGTGGGGGGTGTGCAGGAGGGGGAGGAAAGGAGTAGAGAGGTGTGCGGAATATTAAGCAAAGAGCATGCGCGAAGATGGGACGGATATGCAATCAATACTACACAGGGATGGCGACGACTAAAAAAGCAAAGAGTGCAAAGATGGCAGGCTGAGAGCCAGCCCAGAAGGTCCGAGTTGACCACCGCGAGCTGGAACGGTTCGAGCCGTTGACTGTTTGACAACTGCACGACCTGTTTGGGGTCTACGCTTGTGTTATTATATATTATATAGTCCCGGAACATCCACCTCGCAAATACCGGTGTTTCTGGCTCTTGCACGCACAAAAACATCCGTGTTTTTAGCTTTTTGCACAACATCATGGACTCGTGAGGGTGCCCCTTCCGTTAAGTTTCAATTGGCACCAATGTGCTAGTCATGCCGCCCAAGTTGCCTTGCATTACTTGCACTTAATTCTTTTGTGTTCCTTTTCCGGCCCCTACAGCACAGCAACAGCAACACCAGCAACACCGCCAAGACCAACACCAACACACACACACACCAGACAAGAACAAGAACAACAACAACAACCACCACCAACAACAACAAGTCAACAACGACTCAACGACTCAACAACTCAACAACAACAACAACAACAACAACAACAACAACAACAACAACAACA